TAAGATGCAGAAAATTCATGGTTTGTGTCATGGCTGAACGGTGTACCCTCCAAATTCACATGTTGAAGTTTAACCGCAGTACCTCAGAATGTGACCTTATTTGAAGACAGGGTCACTGCAGACGTAATTTGTTAAGACGAGGCCAGACTGGAGTAGGATGGGCCCCTGATCCAGTGTGACTGTGTCCTCGTAACAGGAGGAAACCCAGACACAGACAAACACCCTGGGAGAACGCCACGTGAAGATGAAGGCATGGGTCAGATGGTGCTGTGGAAGCCAGGGGATGCCAAAGATTGCTGGCAAAGCACCAGAAGCCAGGAGGGAGCCTGGAGCGGATTCTCCTCTCAGCCTCAGAAGGAACCAACCTGGCCCTGACCCTGGATTTTGGCCTCCAGAAGTGTGAGGCAAACCATTCTGTTGTTTAAGCCACGAAGTTTATCATGCTTTCTTTTGGCAGCTCCAGCAAACTCATACAGGTTGTCTCTCACAAGGCAAGCTGCATTAGCAAGAAACTTTCAAAGAATAAAATGCAAATACGGAAAAGTCTATCTTCAGCTGGATACATCCGTTATAAGTCGTGCAGAACTGAACTGAATGGGAAAAGGTCAGTAGAAGAAGTATTCTCTGAGAGAAAGAAACAGTCTCTCCCCTGATGTCAAGACAAAGCAATGGTCTAAAACAATACTTTAGATAAACGCAATGAATGACAGGAAAAGCGTTCACAGTCTTTGATAAACAAGACACACTTATTATAACCCCTTGCTACTCAGAGTGTGGTCCACACTCCAGCAGCTTTGATATCACCTGGGAGCTTGTTAGAAACTAATCAGAACCAGCAGTTTAACAAGAGTCAGGATGGTTAAAATAGGTATTTTAAAGTTTGAGGAGCGCTGGTATAATCCACACAAATTTATAGCATATAAACCATATTAGTATTAACACTTGCCAAAGATGCTGAGTTTCACAGTTTATTCAACACTCACAGGGTAGAAAGCAACCCTGTCCTGCACTACAGAACACCTTGGTAATTGTGTTACTTAGAGTGCTACTGCCATTTTAATTCATTATAAGCAAATGCTTACTCCTTCTTAGAGTATTCCTGCCCAGGGAGAAGGACTCAAATTTTAACTTACAGCCCTATTTCAATCCTGATTATAAAATAGAAAAATCATTATAATTAATGTCTGGGAGCCTTATCAAAATCTACAGGTAATAAAAACTTAAAACTGCTTTAATAACCAGTTTCCAAGTAAATTTCCCTTTATCTGACATATAATGTCAACAATTTAATAACTTTTCTAAAAAAGTACTAGCCAAGTTAAGAGTCAAATTGAAAACAGTCTCTCAGACCTCACTCACAGAACCTCCCTCTGCCTCTTTCTACAGGACTTCAGCACGCAGACACCTGAGGACCACGGCTCTAGATGCACAGGTTCCTACTGAGTCTGGCCCAGCGTTAAAAATAGAAGAAAATAAAGAGGAGCCAAACTACCAAAAGACACCACCCATCACCTAACGTTCTTCCACGTGACTACTTCTCTTCACTTAAGTTTAAAAAATAGCAAAGAACATTTGGTACTTGAAAGGCTTCAAAAACTCACTTTTACACATTTGCTTGTTCCTCTACAATGTTCATCCGAACCTGCATTTTAAGAGCACTGGCTTTGAGAAGACTATAAAACCATAAGACTTTATAGAGGGTCATTTTCAAGAGTGTTGGACAAGTTAGGATTTTTTTTTTCCCAAGTCATTATTTTAGGAAGAGATTTAAAATAGGTAAAGCCAAGTAGCTCAAGAGGTGGGAGTCTCACAAAATCAGGAAAACAAAAGGGAATGAGGGTGCTAGGGAGCATAACACAGGGAGAAAGTTTGTTAAATGACTAAGCATAGATTTTTTTGAAGTCCCTCTGTCCATTCAACAAATATTTACTGGGCATCTACTATGTGCCGGGCACCAAGACCTATGGAGGAGATAAAACGGAAAGCAAGACAAGGCTTCATGTCTGCCCAGAGTCTTCAATCTCCTGGGGGATGGAGACAAGCTAGCAGGTGATGAAGCACAACAAGGTCTGGGGAAGCACAGTGAGCCAGGGCAGCAAGGTCAAGCTCCCGAGTTTCAAGGGGAGACCTGAGGGAGGAGCAGGAGTTATCCGGGGAAGAGCCCGAAAGGGTTCCAAACAGAGGGAGGCAAAAAAGGGCATAACTAGAAGAGCTAAAAGGCCAGCTGGGTGGAAGCAGGGGAAAAAATAGCAAGAGGTAAAGCCAGTAAGGGGAGTGCACCCCCATCACGCAGGGTCGTGTTAACCAAGTGAGGAGCTGGGACTTTTATCCCACAAGCCACGAGGAGCCACTGAAGGGTTTAAGCACAAGAGCTCACTGCTGGTCAGACGGCAGGTTTGCACTTGAGAAAGAACACTGTGGGGAGAGCAGAGAGGATGCATTGGAAGGGGTTGAAATTGGAGACTGAGAAGCATATCTGGAGGCTGCAGGAGGTAAACCAGATGAGAGGTGACAGTAGCTTGATCTAGGATCTCTGTGGCAGAGATGGAATAAACAGGGCCAGTGTGAGAAAGCTATTTACCAGTAGAATCAGAGTATTTGTTAATTAACTACACAGAGAGACTGATGCAGAGGGAAGAGTCAAAAACAAAACCTCCTTTTCTAGTTCGGACAACTGCGAGGGCAGAGCTTCCATTCACTGGGCTAGAGAACAGAGGATGGGGCGGGGACACGCTGAAGTCCAAGTTCCCGGGAGATGTCTCGGTGGTTGTTCAGAAGACAGCAGGTGCACGGTCAGAAACCAGAGTGGAGGCTTGGGCTGGAGACCCGGCTGATAACGGAGCCACAGGAGGGGACACCTCCTGCGACAGCGCTCGGCATAAGCGAGGAGGGCCAAGGACCAGCCTGAGGGGCACGGGTGTTTCCAGGAGGAGGCAAGGCCACCTCGGAGTCGGGAGACAAGCAGAGGAGGCAGGCAGGGAAGAAGACCAGAAAGGACAGCAGAGCCGCAGAGGTCACAGGAAGAGAGTGTGCTGACAGAAGAGGGGGGCCCACATGCAGAGTGCTCCAAGACAGCCACCCAGATGGCTGAACGGAGCACTGAGGCGGCCCGGGCCAAGGCCAAGATGTCAGGGAAGGGGCAGGGAGGCAGATGCACAGTGAGTGCGAGGTGAGAGAGAGCCAGTGCGGCCAGTTCCAAGTATGGCTGCCTGCAGGGCTGGAGGGAGGGAAGGAAATCAGAAAGGTAACAAAGAACTTTGAAAAACGACTGAGTAACTGGTAGCAAACTAAGAAAGGCACATCTCTGTGTTCATACACACAACTATAGCAGCATGTTTAAGGTGATACATCTGCTTTCCCATATTTTTATTCCATACTCCTTGAGAAATGCTTGGTGCTTAGACTCTCCATCAATGATTTTTTAAATAAATACATGACTAGGGCAGAATTAGCTGTCAAGTACCTGGACCTGGTTTCTCAACTGGACTATAAACCTGAGAGTAAAGGCTCTGTCTTCTACTTCTGAATTTTCCATAGTGCAGGACTGAACCCATGGAAGGTGCTGGATGAAATGTAAGCTGAGGGGAGCAAACCCTACCGCAAATAGTAATTATGTAGCAAATGTCACATTTATTGATTCTGTAAAGTCACCCAAACATTGAAAAATTAGGAAACGATGCTACTGTTACAATATCTAAACTGAGAAAGGATTAGGGATTAATAGAAACAATGCTGTTCAGAGATGTTAGGCTGCAATATGGCCGGTGAAGTTGATGAAAAATGTCAAGATAAGAAAGAGGGAGCAGACATTACCAAGAACACAATGGTATATATTTAAAGCTACTCTAAGAAAATGTAAAAGGAGAAAACTAAAATTTCCACGGCCTCTTTCTTAACTTAGCCGGTTCCACGTCTTAGCACAATAAAAGGTATTATTAAAGGACTTTAATGAAGGTCAGGTAATTTAAAATAACCTAATATCTTATGCCTATTGTACATCATTTGTAACGTGCATTTCTAAAAAAAAAATTACACTCAATACAGATCCCTAAACTGTCAATGACAAACCAATTTCCTAAATTGCAATTTGATTAGAGTTGTCTGAACATATAGTTCAAAGAAAAATGTTACCAGGAACACGAATATACTTAGTGAGTGAAGACACAGGCTGGAACATCTGTGTTTTCTCCAATGCTACTACTCTCCTCAGTGGACCATTTCTCTACCCCAGCACTCTTTTCTACACCTGCTCGCCTGTCTCCAACAACAAGGTGACAACATTTGAGGGCTGCTGTAGAGCCTCAGTCTAAATACCCCAAGGAAGACCAGTAAGAGCACAAAGCCTATATCACTTTTGATAATAACCCAAACACAAGACAGAAAACAAAGTTGATAGGTACAGGTCTTTAGATCAGATCCCAGCAAAACTTTCAACAACTTTAAAAAAAAGATGAGTGAGGTCTTAGGCAATATCTTCTATATGAAATACCTTCCAGAGTTTTAATTATTTCACATTAAGCAACTCAAGTTTAAGAAGAACTGGCATAGATCCCAGCAGGACATTTTATAATTTAAAAACAAACAAAATACCTCAAAACAAACTCAATCTGCATGACTGAAAGTCTAGTAACAGGTTTTGAGTTTTTGTAAACACTATGATTACGTAACACTGGCTTGAGAGATTCTAACAAAAAGCCTGTGACTTCTCTCAAACTAATCTGTAACTAGTCCTCAAAAGAGGAAACTAAAAAATCCAAAGAAGCCCACTCAGAAGAAGTGAAAGCCAAGATTGGTGTGGCTGAAATTAAGATTAAAAAACAAACAAACAAACAAACAAACAATTTTATAAATAGGTTTTCTTTACTCAAATATCTACAACTCAAACACTTTTCTATTTTGCTAATCATTGGGCCTTGATCATTAGGTATAATCCAGAACTATCTAATTTGCTCACATGGACACCATGAAAAATAGCTAAGGCAGAAATAAGAGAGACCGTCCTACCTCCCACCAGTCTTAAAGATTAGATCTGCATTAGGCGCTCCCTTTGGATGTTGGTAACGAGGCCGCCGCTCCCGATTGGTGTTTGCTGGAGCCGGGCGCTGGGCAAGAGACTGCAGCATTTCTGGAATTAGGAGCAAAACAGAAAAGGCATTTAACATTGGTAAATGTACTCCCAAGAAGCAAATAAAACCCTACGGAGATCAAGTTTATTAGTCCTGTCAGGTAGCTGACTAAAGAAAAATAACCATTATATGGACTAAAATGATTAATAAGTACAAGAAGAGCAATCAAGAGAGGAGACATGCTCTTGAGTATCATTTAACATCCAACACTCCCTTTACAGTCAACGTGGCCACGACGTTAAGCGTCCTGAGGCAGTGAAACAGCGTAAGAAGCAGTTTAGTACAACAGCTATCGGCATGGCGTTTGGAGCCAGATAAATTAGCTCAAATCCCAGCTCTGCCACATACTAGCTATGCAACTTTTGGTTCAGTTTCCCTAAATGTAAAATGGGAATAATAATAAGCACTTATCTCATAGAATTGTTGTGAGGATTAAGTAATTTGATAAAGTACATAAGTGTCCGGCCATAGTAAGCACTTACACTGAGTGTTACCTACCATTATTTATTATTAAGAACATTGGGTATCAACTGAACTGGAAGAGAAGATTCTAGAAGTGGGATTTAAAGATAGAAACCTGGGACTTCCCTGGTGGTCCAGTGGTTAAGACTCCACGCTTCCACTGTAGGAGGCACGGGTTTGATCCCTGGTCAGGGAACTAAGACCCCACATGCCACGAAGCGTGGCCAAAAAAAAAAAAATTAATTAACAACAAAAAAAGATAGAAAACCAACTATTTATTTATACAACAATCTCTTGCACAAAAAGCAGTCAGTGAGTATAGCACTATACAGACAGTCATGTTATGGCTCTAAAATCTGGATGCCAGGGGAATGACAAAAGGCTGACTTATCAAGTGTCAGTGGACTCTATATGTAAAGTTCCAGTTAATCCAAGTGTGCTGGGTATGTCTGCATAAAACTGGAATCCTAACTTGATGCCCGCAAATCTGAAGGAATAGAGGGTCCTTGAGACCAGGATTCTCAAGTAGACAAAAGAAATGACATTTGTTGAATAATAATTTGCTCACAGTTGACTGGCAGCATGAGGCAATTAAAACTTGGTATTATATCACTTGCAAACATAGCTCCAACAGTATAGAACCTAACTGAATTATGGGGGAAGCAAAATATGACGAAAATTACATTAGTGTTACTTTACAAAATAAGTGAGAGAAAAATGAAGACAGAATGGAATATAAAAAACAATCAACTTCTCAGGCTAAATATATACAAACATGACATGAAAAGGTGCAGAATAAAAGCTTTGATGTTCTGTACTTTAAAAGCCCAAATTTCCACTTCCATCCTGAAAAAGGTTTGATACCTTGATAATCTTCTTGTTCTTGCCGTTCATTGATATCTAGTGTGAGCTTTTTCATTCTCATCCTCTCTTCCTGTTCTGCCTGTTGCTGGTTCCAATGATTTGCAGCAAGTTGGGAAGACATGGGTACATTAAGGATCTTAAACTGAGAAAAAAAAATAATAAAGAAATCACAAATGGCTTGAGAAAATCAAAGAAAAAAAAGATTTCAAATAAATTAGTAAGTAGAATTAAATGAGTTTAGAAAAATAATAATCTTTCCTTCCTTAATAAGTCAATAAAGACAGCATCATCTAAGAACATAAACAGACAACAGTGTTACTCTACTAGAGACAAACCCATTAGGGCTGGATGGGAAGTGGAAGGCCATCAAGTTCAACCTCCATCAAGTTCAACCTTTTCTGCACCCTGTTTGGGAGCACACATCTAAGCAACAGGGGATCATTTTCCGCTGTACAGACCCTATTACATATGGCTAACTATCAGAAAGGGTTTTATACAGAAAGCTGTAATCTGCACCCTTTTCATTTCTACCCTCTGGAATCAGTTCTGCCCTCCTGAACTATACAGTTTAGTCCGCCTTCAGGCTTAACAGACCTTCATATTCCAAAGATAACTGTGACACTGGAAAAGAGAAAGAGTTAATCAACTGACTGATGAGATCTATTTCTCTATTATGGGGGAGAGTTCTTATCTACGGAATGGTTTGTTTTTAGCAGGATGTCCCTGTTTCAGGACTGTTAACAAGGATTAAACTATAATAAATATATTGTGCATTTGTTTAAAACAATCAAAAAGTTCTTTAAAACATTACATAATGGCACTATTACATTAAAACTTTTGCTTTAATGATCAAAACATTTTATTTCATTATTCTAATTCACAGACATTTAGATATAGAAAGAAACTATCAACAGTATTATCCTTTCTTTTCAACTACTTACTTCATTGGTGCAAATTTTTCTTTTCCTACTGACTACAGAAGAAAGTTATTTCTGGGCACAAATCTGGTGCACAAAGAGATCTTTCACTTAAAAACTAAAGATTCCTATAACGCTACACATTTCACATTTCTAAAAAAACTATTGCACCAGAAGGGCCAACACCCAAAAGTCAAATAAAGAAATAAAAATCAGAACAAAATATACTTTCTTCTTCAGACCACAAAATAACAGTGATGTTTCTTCAAATAATGTCCCTAAAACTGAACATTTTCCAAAATTCCAAATAATGTTTATGAGTTGAAAATTTACTTAATAACCAAGTACTCTGAGCTCTCATTTCATATTTGCTAACATTTTAAAAATAAAGTTCAATAAAAATGTTTCCTTAAACAAAATTTCACATTTTAAGAAATAAGGACTTCACTCCTCATTCTGAAGCTATATAGGTTACACACTATATAATCTATCCACTTTGAACCAAAAATATTTCTTCTAAAACACAGACATATGGTCCTATGTTGACCCATACAATTTAGAATTCAGGACAGCTGAAATGAATTTACTTTCCAAAGCTCCAAAGTTTCTGAAGGTAGGTTTTAATTTTATGCCTACATGTTCTGAAAAGATCAAATGGGGTGTGCAAATTCACAGGTATACTGAATTTTCATGTGTGCCTCAGAAAAGGGAGGGACGAATGAAGAAAACTGATTATTTACTGTTGTGTAATTTGATCTTCACAGAAAGATATTCCTAAGGCTCCTTTTAAATAAGAAAAATCAAGGCTCAAGAAGTGTGCCAATGTAGTACAAATGTTCAGGAGCTGTACGGGAATAGGAACCAAGGCCTACCGAACTGATGTTGCCATGTACTGCCCTTCACAATTTAAAAAAAAAAAACAAACTTCCTTTTTGTGCCAAGAAATCTGGTGATGAGGGGAGAGCGAGGGAGTGGAAAGGGGAAGCGGAGAGGTTTTAAAGAAAAAGAAAATGAATCAGACCTAAAATGTGATGACTGAAACAGAAAAGTCTACTCAGAGTACTAAGTCATTCCTAGAAAAGAAAAGCAAAGCAAAAACTCTGGGCTTTGAGAATCCTGGTAACCATGGTGAACTAGCAGTTCCAAGTGCTAAGAAGAGCAATTTTACAAAGATCTCACTCCAACAGCAAGTTTAGGGTCTTGATCAAAAACAAACCCTTATTTTTCTAGGGGCTGGGTGGAGGATGAGGGAAAGGGGAAATGTGAGGGATCATCTCTGTCCTGAGGGTGAGAAAGGGTGGGAAATTTCCTAAAAACTTGATAACCCTAGAACCTGCGACGGAGAAAAGTCCTATTGGCTAGAAAGGAATTAGGAAGACAGTGTCTGAAAAAGATACAGCAGTGCTTGGAATCGAAGTCAAAGTTAACTATTTAAACATGACTCATGATGGAAACCCTGTTCCCAGCCCTCCATTCCGTGATCCTAACTGGTATTCAGTTTTCATATTTCAAGATTTATTTGCACTATAGCAAAATATTGGTATACTGTACAACTTTGATCTTTTGAATAGCAAGAAATTACCTGACCAAAGAAGAGATAAAAAATTAAGGTAGGCATCATCTCCTGGAGGCTGTGCTGGGAGGGAGGAAACAGAACATCCCTGCCCTCACAGAGAACACCTCATTCCAGGTCTTCTCCGGTCACCCCCACAGCAGCTGTCTCCCTCTCATCGCCTCCTCCCCACCCGGTCTCTTCTATCCTCTTATCTTGCTTTATCTTCCAACACAGCACTGTCTCCAACCTGACATTACTTCTTTATTGTTGCCTCTCAATACTAGAATGAAAGCTCCCAAGAGAGGAGGGACTTGGTTGACTCCTGCATTTCTGCACATGGAACAGTACCTGGTATGTGGCAAGTCAACAATAAGTATCTGTTAAATGACTATTTAAATGAATGGGGGAGCCAGGTGCTGAACTTGTCTGTGATAAGCTGTGGTAGCCACTGTATTTCATAGACACTTCCATTAATTATAAGATGCACCATTATTTTACATACCACTAAAACAGAAAAAAATGCTGTCAATTATCCCAAGAGTCCACCAACTCTAAGAGGTGGCTTGCCTTCAGAAATATTAAAGTGTGGAATTTTTTTTTACAGAACTGGTAATATATGATGTATCCTAGAGTTGTGTCTGAGAGCCAGGCTCTATTTTCTTCAGGGCACTTTTCACTATCTGCAAATATATTATGCTGTCTCTCTCCCTCATCTGGGTTGTGCATTCATGAGGCCAGGGGCTGCATCTTGTTCACCACTGTAGCCTCACACTTAGGATGGTATTTGGCACATAGTAGACAATTAATATTTGATGAGTGAATGTATGAATCAAAGTGATAGCTTAGTAGTCGGGGAAATGATTTTGAGGGCCATCTGTGAGATAAGGGAAAGAAGGAAGAGGTAATTTAAGGAGAATGGAAGAGAAGGATTAGGGGTCAGAAAACAATGATTTTTGGTTTTTTCCCAAGAGAAATCTTGGCAAGTGAGCATTTTCTTGAGATTATCTGCCCTCACCCTCCTTTCCTTTCCCACCCTGAGCTTACACATGAAACCCTTCTACTGAAAGTCAAGGTATTTATATCTTCTAACAAATACATATGATTTAAATTTTATTTTAATTTATTTATCTGGCTGCATCGGGTCTTCGTTGCGGCACGCAGGATCTTCGTTGAGGCATGCAGGATCTTTTGTTGTGACACACAGGCTTCTCTCTAGTCATGGCATATGGATTTTTTCTCTTCTCTAGTTGTGGCGCACAGGCTCCAGGGCTCGTGGGCTCTGTAGTTGTGGCGTGCGGGCTCCAGAGCACATGGGCTCTGTAGTTTGCAGCACGCAGGCTCTCTAGTTGAGGTGCTCGGGCTTAGTTGCTCCGCAGCATGTGGGATCTTAGTTCCCTGACCAGGGATCGAACACGCGTCCCCTGCACTGCAAGGCAGATTCTTTACCTCTGGACCACCAGGGAAGTCCCTATCACTGAATACTTTAAAAGTTTCCAGTCTTTCCCCTTGTAAGCAAAAGATAATTTAGAACCTATAAAACAAAGTTACTGCTTACACTTGATAACTAACAACCAACTGTGAATACAGGACGGACAGATTCTTACCTGCTGTTTATTGCCTTTTCTGGTTAACATGACAAACGGCATCGTATCTGCAGACTCTGTTTCTCCCTCCCCACCACCGAGTGGGGGCCCTTTCCTCAGCTGGCTTTTGAGATGCAAGGGAATGGCAACATCAAGTTGGTGCACTTTAACAGATTCGCCACTTCGTTGCTTAAAGACAGAAATGAAAAAATGTAAATGACCCAATACATTGCAAACAATTCCTTCAGTGCTATATTTCTTAGAGCAAACACTAGAGCCAAGTCATCTTTCTGAAACCACAGAGTCATCCCCCACCTCCAAACCCTTACACACGCCTTGGAAGAACCATATGATTTGGCTCCTACTGATGGCTCCAGCCTCTCCCAAGCTCAAACAAACAATGCTGTAGGTTCTACCGTTTCCCTGTTCCTTGAGTGCACTTGTCCTCTCATTCACACTCACAGCACACATCTTCCTTTGTAGTTATCATAGGCCATAACTGCCTGCTTATCCATGAGACGTCCCACCTGACTGATGGGGCTCATCACTGAACCCTTTCCCTGGCATTCTGTGGTGGTGCTTTACACACAGCAGGTGCCCAATTAATATTTAAGAGTGAATGGAATCAATTAATGTTCAGATTAACTTCTTGCTTATTAATATCAATTATTTTTAGCATTCACACTGGATTTATCAATCAATTATTTAAACAAACTTTCATCAATGACCTACATGTTAGGCTTGGAGATACTAATATTACAAAGATAGTCTCTACCCTCAAAGAGCTCATAAACTTGTTAAGTAAGAGAGAGAAATAAATTAATTACGATTCATCTGGGTTGTGTATAACATGTGTTGGGGATGGAGTGACCACACAGGCCTAGCTGAGAGTGGGTAGGTGCTGAGATTTCACAAAAGGTTGAACAAAAATGGGACATTTGAGAACATTAAGACTTCACATGACTTCTTCCAAGCAGATGGTAAAGGAGCAGTTTGGGGGATATGGAGGGAATTTAGGCAGGGGAAGAATAGGTGCAAAAGCAAGGATGTGAAACAGCAGGTGCATTTAGGGAACTGCAAATAATTTTCTGAGTCTGATGAATGGAGCACGAATGAGAAAAGAGCGGAACATGACTCTTCAAAGCTAAGAAGGTAATACCGAAAGGCCGTGAAGGTGTTAAAACTGCTTAACTGCTATTTAAATAGTCTTTTGATATAGGTGCCATATATGCAAGAGACTTGCAAATCAAGCAAAATGGTAATAAAGGTATAAGGTTTTATTGTTTTGTTTTTTTGCGTACGTGGGCCTCTCACTGTCGCGGCCTCTCCCGTTGCAGAGTACAGGCTCTGGACGCACAGGCTCAGCGGCCACGGCTCATGGGCCTAGCCGCTCCGCGGCATGTGGGATCTTCCCAGAGCGGGGCACGAACCTGTGTCCCCTGAATCGGCAGGTGGACTCTCAACCACTGCGCCATCAGGGAAGCCCGGTTTTATTGTTTTGATTTCTAAGTTCCAATTTCTTAGAATTTGCTTAAAGTTCTCCCAGTTTCATAAGATTTATCAAGACTTTTTATCAATACTTAAAATTTGAAAGAATCATGTTAGATCAATCTTGATTTGTAAATTATCTTTCTTTCCTGATTACAAAATTAACATGCTCTGGGCTTCCCTGGTGGCGCAGTGGTTGAGAGTCCGCCTGCCGATGCAGGGGACACGGGTTCGTGCCCCGG